GTTGTTGTTGGAGCAGCTGTGGTTTTGGTATTTTCAGCTGTGGTAGTTGGTGCAGCCATGGTTGTTGTTGGAGCAGCTGTGGTTGTTGGGACAGCTGTTGTTGTTGTTTTAGAAGCTGTTATTGTTGTTGGTGCAGTTGTTGTTCTAGGAGCTGCTGTCATCAGAGTAGCTGTGGTTGTTGTTGGGGCAGCTATAGTGGTTGTTGGAGTAGCTGTTGTTGTTGTTGTTGGAGCAGCTGTGTTTGTTGTTGGAGCCGCTGTGGTTGTTGTTGGGAGAGCTGCAGTGGTTGTTGGAGCAGTTGTCGCTGTTGTTGTTGAACCTGTTTTCGCAGATGTTGTTGTGATTGGTGCAGCTGTATTTATATTTGGAACAGTTGTGGTTGTCGTAGGGACAGAGGTTGTTTGAGCACCTGTGCTTGTTGTAGAAGCTGTTGTTGTTGTAGGGGCAGCTGTCGTAGTCGTGGTTGTGGTATTTTCAGCTRTGGTAGTTGTTGCAGCCATGGCTGTTGTTGGGGCAGCGTTGGTTGTCATTGCAGCTGCTGTKATTGTTGTAGGAGCAGCTGTCGTTGTTGTCATAGTAGCTGTGGTTGTTGTTTGAGCAGCTGTGGTTGTGGTAGTTTCAGCTGTGGTAGTTGGTGCAGCTGTCGTTGTTGTTGGGGCAGCTGCAGTCGTTGTTGGGGCAGTTGTTGTTGTGGCTAAAACTGTTGTTTTTGTGGCAGATGTTGTGGTTGGTGCAGCTGTATTTGTATTTGGAGCAGCTATGGTTGTGGTAGTTTCAGCTATGGTAGTTGGTGCAGCCGTGGTTGTTGTTGGGGCAGCTGTGGTTGTCGTTGCAGCTGCTGTGGTTGTTGTAGCAGCAGCTGTCGTTGTTKTCAGAGTAGCTGTGGTTGTTGTTGGAGCAGCTGTGGTTGTTGTTGGGGCAGCTGTGGTTGTTGTTTTAGAAGCTGTTGTTGTTGAAGCAGTGGTTGTTGTAGAAGCAGCTGTGCTTGTTGTTGGAGCAGCATTGGTTGTTGTAGGAGCTGCTGTCGTTCTCAGAGTAGCTGTGGTTGTTGTTGGGGCAGCTATAGTGGCTGTTGGAGTAGCTGTGGTTGTTGGTGRAGCAGCTGTGTTTGTTGTTGGAGCCGCTGTGGTTGTTGTTGGGGCAGCTGCAGTAGTTGTTGGGGCAGTTATGGTTGTTGTTGTTGAACCTGTTGTTGCAGATGTTGTTGTGGTTGGTGCAGCTGTATTTATATTTGCAGCAGTTGTGGTTGTTGTTGGGACAGATGTTGTTTGAGCACCTGTGCTTGTTGTAGAAGCTGTTGTTGTAGGAGCAGCTGTTGTTGTCAGAGTAGCTGTGGTTGTTGCTTGTGCAGCTGCAGTTGTTGTAGAATCGGCTGTGGTTGTTATTGGGGTAGATATTGTTGTTGGAGCAGCTGTGGTTTTGGTATTTTCAGCTGTGGTNCAGCTGTGGTTGTTATTGGGGCAGATGTTGTTGTTGGAGCAGCTGTGGTTGTGGTAGTTTCAGCTGTGGTAGTTGGTGCAGCCATGGTTGTTGTTGGGGCAGCTGTGGTTGTCGATGCAGCTGCTGCAGTTGTTGTAGGAGCAGCTGTCGTTGTTGTCAGAGTAGCTGTGGTTGTTGTTTTGGCAGCTGTAGTGGTTGTTGGTGCAGCAGTGGTTGTTATAAAAACAGCTGTGGTTGTTGTTGGAGCAGCTGTGGTTGTTGTTGGGGAAGCTGTGGTTGTTGTTTYAGAAGCTGTTATTGTTGTTGGAGCCGTTGTTGTTGTAGGAGCTGCTGTTGTTGTCAGAGTAGCTGTGGTTGTTGTTTGGGCAGCTATTGTGGTTGTTGGAGTAGCTGTGGTTGTTGTTGTAGCAGCTGTGTTTGTTGTTGGAGCAGCTGTGGTTGTTGTTGGGGCAGCTGCAGTCGTTTTTGGGGCAGTTGTTGTTGTGGCTAAAACTGTTGTTTTTGTCGCAGATGTTGTGGTTGGTGCAGCTGTATTTGTATTTGGAGCAGCTGTGGTTGTGGTAGTTTCAGCTGTGGTAGTTGGTGCAGCCGTGGTTGTTTTTGGGGCAGCTGTGGTTGTTGTAGGAGCAGCTGTCACTGTTGTCAGTGTAGCTGTGGTTGTTGTTGGAGCAGCTGTGGTTGTTATTGGGGCAGATGTTATTGTTTGAGCAGCTGTGGTTGTGGTAGTTTCAGCTGCGGTAGTTGGTACAGCCGTGGTTGTTTTTGGGGCAGCTGTGGTTGTCATTGCAGCTGCTGTAGTTGTTGTAGGAGCAGCTGTTGTTTTTGTCAGAGTAGCTATGGTTGTTGTTGTAGCTGCTGTAGTTGTTGTAGGAGCAGCTGTCGTTTTTGTCAGAGTAGCTATGGTTGTTGTTGTAGCTGCTGTAGTTGTTGTAGGAGCAGCTGTCGTTGTTGTCAGAGTAGCTGTGGTTGTTGTTGCAGCTGTCGTGGTTGTT